CTTGTTTTTTGTTTTTTTCCTTTCTGGGTCTAACTCCAGTACAAGGTTGACTAGGAGTGGTGAGAGGGGACATCCTTGCATTCTTCTTGATGTTACCAGAACCATCGAGTTCTTTCAGGGTAGTGCGCTTGTATTAAATAAGAGTCCAGTTGATGTAGAGGCAGGTGTGGGAAGAAGGGAAGCATTCTCCACTCCAGTGATTTGTTCTCTAGTTGAGCCTGTGTACCTGGACTTGACCTTCTGTGGTATAGTGAGAAAGGTATGTCATCTTTGTCCCTAGTTCCTAATAAATACCTCTTGAAGCTCTTGGAATTACTTGAATGTTAAGGGTGATAGTGTTTTTTTTTTTTTTTTTTAAGATTTTATTTATTTATTTGAGAGAGAGACAGTGAGAGCAGGAGCACAAGCAGGGGGAGTGGGAGAGGGAGAAGCAGGCTTCCTGCCGAGCAGGGAGCCCGATGCCGGGCTCGATCCCAGGACACTGGGGTCATGACCTGAGCAGAAGGCAGACGCTTAACTTTTTTTTTTTTTTTAAATAACAAGGCAACTCGTCGCCAACTCCTAAATAGCTTCAGGCTGGGAATTGGACACCAGGAACACGAAGCCTTGACTAGGGGCCTGGGACTTTGAGCCCCAGCTCCCAGCCTCTGGAGAAGAGGGGCTGTAGAGTTAATCACCAATGGCCAGTGATTTAATAAATTGTGTCCATTTAATGAAATCTCCATCAAAATCCTTAAAGACCTGATTTAGAGGGTGTCCAGGTTGATGAACACATCTAGGAGCTGGGAGATTGGCGTGTCCAGAGAGGAGGTGGCACTCTGCAACCAGCTCCCCCCCCTCCCCCCCCTCACCCATATGATCCCCTTAACTTTGACCTATGCATCACTGCCTTTTATCTGTTCCTGAGTTGTATCCTTTATAGGAAGTCATTATAGTGAAGTAAAGGGTTTTGCTGAGTTCTTATATCATTTTGGTAAGTCACCAGACATGGTGGCCCACGGAGGGAACCTGAGTGTGGCTGGCGTCTGGAGTGCGGCCGGTGTGTGGGACGGAGCTCTCCACCTGTGGAGTCGGACGTGAACTCTGGGTGTTAGTGTTAGGATTGAATTGAACCGTGTCACACCTGTTTGGTGACACAAGAGTTGGAGAAGTGGCATTGGGACAGACACCACCTATTTGGTGTCATGAGGGGGGAAAAACCCCTTGTCGTTCTCAGAAGTGCCTCACCTTTGGGAGAAGATAAGGCTGGAAGAGACTCAAGTTGGCTATTTCCTTCCTCCCAGGTCAGATAGGCTCTGGGAAAATTCCAGTCAGTGACAGTCTTGTGAAATAGATTGTTTTGAGGTCGGGCCTTGTTAAGAAGCATAGAATATTCCAGACATACTTTTAAATGGCTACTTTTTTGTCTTTAATTTTGGAGACCGTGCTTTACCCTGGTACCTCAGTTCTGTGATGGAGGAGTTGTTGATTTCAAGTTTCTTGGCTTTTGTCTTCTGAGGACTGGAAGCCAGCTTCTAAGCTCCTTACATGTAGTCCAGCCAGAGACCAGAAGTCTCTGATTCCTCTTTTTGATGTTTGACTGCTGACAGCTTTCAACTCTTATCTCTCCTTCCTCCCCTTGTGCCCCATATCTGTACAACAGGACCAAACACCCTGGGTGCTCCTTCCTTTGGTTTTGGCAAATGATTCAATCCACTGCCTTGTCCATGTACCCCAACTCTCATCCTAGCCCACCCCCAAACCCCAGTAAAAACTCAAGCCAGGCTGCTTTCCTTGCTCTCTCCAGGCATTTCCCACCTGCTTGAGAGGCCTGCCCTGCCCTCCCTGGACGCTTGCATTATGGAAATAAGAAACGCTTTCATACCCTGTAGGCATGTGTGTGTTGTCAGTATAGACAATCTGAACCAAATCTCCGGCGGGGGTCCACCTGCCCGTGCAGTTGACCCTACCAGTCATACCATCGGTAGCCTGCTGCATATTTTGCAGTCCTCTTTGCTTTCTTTTTCTGTTGATAAATCCTCCAGATCTTTTGATATTGGTGCATGCCATCCTTCTATGAGTCTCTGAGTGCAGATGCACAAAAAATTCTGTGGACGTTGTTGAAAAATTCTTAGGCTGTAGATAGTGATCAGATCAAACTTACGGGAAATAGCAGTGGATTGAATCACTTGACCCTCCTACATTCTTGCATCGTTTATGGAATAAGTTACAATACATGATGGTCTTCAACACTTGGGATTATTAAATTGATGAGTTTTTTTTCTATTCACAAATTTTTGTTCTAATCACTGTGAAATGGGATCTACTGGACTTTTTTTTTTTAAAGGAAAGACCTGTTTGGTTTTTTTTTTTTAGATTTTATTCATTTATTAGTGCGAGAGAGCACAAGCAGGGGGAGCAGAGGGAGAGGGAGAAGCAGACTTCCCGCGGAGCAGGGAGCCCTACATGGGGCTCGATCCCAGGACCCTGAGATCGTGACCTGAGCCGAAGGCAGCCCTTTAACTGACTGAGCCACCCAAGCGCCCCTCTACCGAACATTTTATTTCCCTGTTACCAGGGAAATACCATCTCATTACCAGGGTGATGGACATTTTTAATCTATGGTATTTATCTTCTGTTCAGTATGTTTGACTTTTTTTCCTTTTGAATATGCATCTATTCATTTTAACTCTGCCAATTGACCTTTTATATTGCAGCTGTTGTTGATACTTTTCCTCGTTTGTCTTTTAATTATTTTAATTTTAATAGAGTAGAATTTGCCTGTCTCTGATTTTATGGCTTAGTATTCCTGTGTCAATAAAATCTCTATCTGTGGGGCGCCTGGGTGGCTCAGTCGTTAAGCATCTGCCTTCGGCTCAGGTCATGATCTTGGGGTCCTGGGATGGAGCCCCACATTGGGCTCCCTGCTCAGCGGGAAGCCTGCTTCTCCCTCTCCCCCTCCCCCTTCTAGTGCTTTCTATCTCTTTGTCTTAAATGAATAAATAAAAATCTTTAAAAAAAAAATTAAAAATAAAAATAAAATAAAAACAAAAACAACCCTCATAGACAAAGTTAAATGAGAGGCGCCTGGGTGGCTCAGTCATTAAGCGTCTGCCTTCGGCTCAGGTCATGATCTTGGGGTCCTGGGATTGAGCACCACGTCGGCTTCCCTGCTCAGCGGGAAGCCTGCTTCTCCCTCTCCCACTTCCCCTGCTTGTGTTCCCTCTCTTGCTGTGTCTCTCTCTGTCAAATAAATAAAAATCTTTAAAAAAAAAAAAAAATCTCTATCTGTGAATTCTGAAAGTTTCCTCGTTTTATCTTGCACATTTAAATCTAGAATGAATTGGCTATTTTCCATGGAATATTGGGGGAATACAGTGCATTTTTCCAAGTGATTAACAGTGTATGCCTGCCCGTGTATGAAGTGTTCATGATATTTGCCACTTACCTTCAGTGACTGCTGTGTCCCTAACTTTTCATATTAAATGCCAGCCTATTGAAGGCACTTCCTACCCTTGTCTGTCTGCTTATCGCTCTGCTAGTTAGTACTGTATTGTCTGGAATAGTATAGCTTAACAATCCTTCATGTGTGTTAGGTAGACTACCACCTTGTTCTTCAGAAGACTCTGTCCATTTCTTGACATTTGTTCTATCTGTTGGGCTTGGAGGAGTACTTTTGTTGACTGAAGAATCTGGGGGATTATGGAATTTTATAAAAATACTACTTGGGGGACACCTGGGTGGCTCAGTCCGTTAAGCGTCTGCCATCGACTCAGGTCATGATCCCAGGGTCCTGGGATCGAGTCCCACATCGGGCTCCTTGCTCATCTGGGAGCCTGCTCCTCCCTCTGCCTGCCGCTCCACCCTGCTTGTACTCTCTCTTTTCTCTCTTCTCCCTGAAATAAATAAATAAAATCTTTACAAAAAATACTGTTTGGGAGTGACGTCTGGGTGACACCAAGTGCTTGTTAAGAACAGTTGGCATTCGTTCACTTATTTTCTTCTACTTTGACATTAAGCAGTAATTTTTACACTTTTCTACGAGGATCATTAAACGAGGATCATTAAACTGGCTTTAGTCTACTTTGGTGTGAGTAAATTAGTAACAAGCTTTCAAATGTCAGTGTAATCACGTAGGATGGGCTCAGTTCTTCAAGCAACAAGTTGAGTACACATGTAAATTATTGTCTACTAGGGAAGCTTTGTAGAGATTCAGCGTCTGGAGTGTTTGTTGGGGGCTGGTCATGTCAACACTGTTTGCCAAACCTGTAACAAATTACAGACTCTCAAAAGGCAGATAGGAGTTTCATGTATGGACTCTGAAAAGGAAGATAGGAGTTTCATGTACCATAATGTTTGCATTAGCGCTTTAGGCACATGGAGGCCCACTAATCTGTAGGGTTGGTGGGGTCAATCCCAAAACCAGTTCCCAGATAGCAGCAAAGGATGAACTTTGTCATCCAGGATTTCTAAGGGTAAGCAGTCTCAGGCCTGCTAATGTTCACTCTCTTCTGCACACTAGCTAGTAGTACTTTTTATGAACATGCTCTGCAGTTCCATTGTGGAAAGAGTTACTAGGACTGACCCAAGCAGCTCATTACTCCCTGGACCCACAACAAGAGAGGTGTGCCTTGTTTGTTGTCACTCTACTGAATAAATCAGTTCTAGCATTAGAATTGCTGGGTGGGAGCTTTTCTCTGTTCCCTACGCATGGATATCATTGGATGATCTCTTTCAGGGATCAGCATTTAGGGGAATTAATCACTGAGGGATTCCTGTGCTTGGGATGGGCTGTCCTGCTGCCTTCCCAGGAGAGGAACTCAGAAATGAGTGAAGTTGGGAGGAAAGTCTCCAGAGTGGCTGGTTAGGTCTAATCACTTGCAACAGAAATCAGAAAAAAGGGATTTGGTGGGGTTTTTGGAGGAAAGCACTGTTGAACTCTGTTTCACATTATGTGCAAATTCACTATGAGTAGTAGTGTGGAATTCAGTGAAGCCCCTTGGCAAATTCCATGCTTTAACATGTTCCTCAAGGTCACCAAGGCCCTGGTTACAGTGGTATGATTCTGTCAGAAAATCCCTTCTGGTATCTTATCATCAGTATGTGTGCTTTTGTGTCCTAAAAATTGGTGGAAGGCAACTCTGAGGCTCATGAATATATGGATTTGGGGGTTGTCCTAAGTTGTCACACCTTTTCCTTAGTCTGAGTTGTATATTCTGAATATCTCCCTGGTCCATGAAATGAAACAGAGCATGGAAGGTAAAACTGATTCTGTGATATATATTATACAAACAAATTATAATTATACTCTTCTATGAAAATATTGTTGTTCATGCAGCTGGATGTGACTGTTTGTAATGGCCTGGAGGACTTTAGGATATTATGGCCAGCTGGATCTTGTAACAGTTTGGATTCTCCTGGCTTTTCATGTTTGGAGATGGGAATAGAAGAAAAGGCTTCCATTTTTTTTTTCCCCTGTTTTTGTCTATAAAACATCATGCACTTGTGACCCTGTGCTTCATGGAGTGCTGTGTGATGTTGTGAGTATTTAAGAAGGAGATGAAAGTTTTTCTCACAAGGAGTTGATAGTCTTAAGATGGAAATATTTCTTTTATTTGCATAGCATTTCTCCGAGGGGTTCTGTTCCCTGACAGTAGAGAGACATGGACACTGGAAGTGATCACAATAAAAATGTAGCAATAAATTCCTGTGTTCCTGATGCTGTTCTTAAATTCATGAAGTGAGTGTGACCAGAGAGGAAGAGTCTGATGACCCAGTCATAGAATAAATGTTGAGAAATCGAAGTCCTATGTGAATTTCTTACGAATTGAGTAGAGATCTCCAGTGCTGTCTCACCCATCCTCCTGTACACATGCATGGGATGTTTCAGGACTCAGTGGCCTTTGAGGATGTGACTGTGAACTTCACCCTGGAGGAGTGGGCTCTTCTGAATCCATCCCAGAAGAAACTCTACAGAGATGTGATGCAGGAAACCCTCAGGAACCTGGCCTCAATAGGTAAGGGTGACGACATTCTTACGAGTCTGTTAGAGAACCAGTGTGATTTGCTCATCAGGGCTGTTTCGAGAGATGAAATACGGAAAGGGAATATGTTGGTAAATAAATCAGCCATGGTGACCTCACTTCCATCATGGACCTAGAATCTAAAAAACTTTAATAATTCTTTATAATTTATGATTTTTCCTGGTCTGCATTTTAGGAGAAAAATGGGAAGACCGTAATAGTAAAAGTCTGTATGAACATCAGCAGACAGATCTAAGGTGAGTCCCACTCACATAAGAACAGTGTCTCTGGGGGCACCTGGCTGCCTTAGTTGGTAGAGCATGTGACTCTTAATCTCAGGGTTGTGAGTTCAAGCCCAAAGTTGGACGTGGAGCCTACTTAAAATTAAAAACAAACAGTTGTCCCATGAGAAAATCTTTGTCATAATATTAAAACAAAACAAAACAAATCAGAACATTTTCAAGTTTATTTATTTTTAGGATTTTTTTTTCTTTCTTTCTTTTTTTTTTTTAAGATTTTATTTATTTATTTGACAGAGAGACACAGCGAGAGAGGGACCACAATCAGGGGGAGAGGGAGAAGCAGGCTTCCTGCTGAGCAGGGAGTCCAGTGCGGGGCTTGATCCCAGGACCCTGGGATCATGACCTGAGCCAAAGGCAGACGCTTAACGACTGAGCCACCCAGGCGCTCCAGGATTTTTTTTCATCAAAAGTTTTTTCTCTAATATGACATAGATGTTCAATGTTTGAAAAATAACAACATGTTCAAAAAGTATTCAGAAACCCCGTTTATGATTATCCCTTTTGATCATAGCTGTGATTGACTTCTTGCAGAATGGTTAGCACGTACTCACTTTCAAGCAATCTGAAAGCACAAAAAACATACACATTTTTTGAAAATGGTAAAAATGTCATTGAAATAACTTAATAAATATGAAATTATTAAGAAGCCATTAATAACATGCTTCTCATTTTTACAGCAGGCCTGTGGTAGAGAGTCCCTGTAAAAATAAAGAAGGTAGTCTGTGTGGAGAATCCTTCAGCCAGAATCCAGATCATAAGCAGATAAAGAAAACTCCTACTGGAATAAAACTGCGTAAATGCAGTTTTTGTGGACAAGTGTTCAGGCATCACTCATCCTTTAGCAGGCATATGATCTCTCACACTGGCCACAAACTATATGAGTATCAGGAATATGAAGAGAAGCCTTATAAATGTAAGGAATGTGGGAAGGCCTTCAAGCATCGCCAATCCATTCGAGTACACGTAAGGACTCACACTGGAGAGAAACCGTACAAGTGCAAGCACTGTGGGAAGGCCTTCAAGCATTGCCAATCCATTCGAAAGCACGAGAGGATTCACACTGGAGAGAAACCCTACGAATGCAAACAATGTGGAGAAACATTCAGATATCGCCACAACTTTCAAAAACATGAGCGAACTCACACTGGAGAGCAGCCCTATAGATGTAAGCACTGTGGCAAAGCCCTCAGTTGTCTCAGTTACTGTCGAATTCATGAAAGAACTCACACTGGAGAGAAACCGTATGAATGTAAGCAATGTGGGAAGGCCTTCAGTTATGCCAGTTACATTCGAATCCACGAGAGAACTCACACTGGAGAAAAGCCCTATGAATGCAAGAAGTGTGGGAAATCCTTCAGTTGTCCGAATTATTTTCGAAAACACGAAAAGACTCACACTGGAGAGAAACCCTACGAATGTAAGCAGTGTGGCAAAGGCTTCAGTTGTCCTAGATCCTTTCGAAGTCATGAAAAGAGACACAGGGGTGAGAAGCCCTATGAATGTAAAATTTGTGGTAAAACCTACAGTTGTCCCATCTACTTTCGAAATCACGAAAGGAGACACAGTGGGGAAAAATCCTACGAATGTAAAATATGCGGCAAGTCCTTCAGTTGTCCAAAGTATTTTCGAAAACACGAAAGAAGTCACACTGGAGATGAACCCTGCGAATGTAATGAATGTGAGAATACCTTGAGTCCTCTCACCATATTTCAAACACACATGATGAAGCACAGCGAAGGTGGACCTTATAAGTGTAAGGAGTGTGGGAAAGTCTTCGATTGTCCCAATAACTTTCGATGTCATGAAAAGATACACAGTGGAGAAAAGCCATATGAATGTAAGGAATGTGGCAAAGCTTTCAGTTCATCCATGTCCCTTCAAAACCACGAAAGAAGTCACAGTAGGAAAAAACCTCATGAATGTAAGGAATGTGGTAAAGCCTTCAGTTTTCCCTGTTCCCTTCAAAAACATGAAAGAAGTCATACTGGGGAGAAACCGTATGAATGTAAGCAGTGTGGGAAAGCCTTCACTTATCTCAGTTCTATGCAAAAGCATGAACGAACTCATAGCGGAGAGAAACCCTATGAATGTAAGCAGTGTGGGAAAGCCTTCATTTATCTCAGTTCTATGCAAAAACATGAAAGAACTCATAGTGGAGAGAAACCCTATGAATGTGAGCAGTGTGGGAAAGCCTTCATTACTCTCTCAAACGTTCAGAGGCACATGATCAAGCACACTGGAGATGGACCTTGTAAGTGTAAGGAGTGTGGGAAAGCCTTCGATTGTCCTAGTTCATTGCGAACCCACGAACGTACTCACACTGGGGAGAAACCCTATCAGTGTAAACATTGTAGTAAAGCCTTCACTCGTTCTAGTTCTTTACGAAACCATGAAAGAACTCACAATGGAGAGTAGCCATGTGAATGTAAAGAATATGGAAAATTCTTCAGTTGTTCTAGTTCTTTCTGAATACATGAAGTAACTCACACTGGAGAGAAACCTTATCAACACAAACAATATGGTAAAGTCGTTACTCCCTGTGATGTTCATATACGTGGAATTCATACCAGAGACAAACTCATTGTAGGGAAAGTCGTGCAAACTTTCACTGGGGACACAAGAGAGTGCACATGGGGAGAAACCATATAAACGTAAAGAATCAGGGAAAGCCATCCATGCATTTCCATGGGAAACTACAGAAGAACTCACACTGAAGAGAATTCTATTGAATGTAAACATTGTAGGAAAATTCACTTGCCTCACCTTCTTACAAAACCATGTGAGAATGTATAATACTTTATAATGAAAAGTAAGGGAAGCTTTTTAATTAAAAAATATTTTCAGAATAATTTGAAAACTGCACTGGAAAGAAACAATGTAAGTAATATAGGTGAGCCTGGTGCAAATTACTGTATAATAAATACTCCCCCAGATTCACAACATGAAAGAAACGTTACTAACGTTATACATATATTGTCTTCATCAGTGGCTTATTCTTTATTCTCCAGTTTTATTGAGAAAAGCTGACCTATTACTGCATAAGCTTAAGACATGTAGCTTGATGGTTTGATTTACATATATTGTGAAAAAGTTACAGTGGCTCATTATCCAAGTGATTCTCTGTTTTGTGGATTGCTGCTTAGTTTTGCAAGTAAACCCTGAGGTGGGAAAATATTGTAGGTACTCATTAAGCAGTGGTTTCTGAGTTTAATGGATAATTTTTCCCCCTCAGTAAAATGCTAGTGTTTCAGTTTTGAAGACTGTTTCATCCACGGATGAACTGAAGTATATTTCTTAACATGCAAGTAGGTTTAATTTTTATATAATTTTTTCATTTTAAGGATAGAGCTGTTGAGCAATGACATGTTATCCTTAAAAATAAACTGGCAATTATTTTTCCAGCAAAAATGGGCTTATAGTAGAGAAGTGCAATTCAGGACGAGGAAGCTACACAATGCCATAGGCAATTCTGGAGAACAAAGGAGAGGAATGCTGTCCTATAAAAGAAAGCAGGGGACTTGGAAGGGGCTGTTATGAACAAAACATTGGTTGGAATAAACTGGGAAGTTCAAAATGTAGTGGCTTCTCATTGGCTGAGTCGTGACTGTCCTATTGGCTGGGCTGTTGCTGGGTAAGGAGGAACCCTTTCTTCCTCCTGCTGGGATAACAAAGTCACTGACGTGGTATTTCGAGGTATGTCTCTTCCTGTTGAGTGTGCAACGGAGGAGGAGTGGTAGGGCTGGGATCTTGCACTACTGAGTTCCTGATTCCATTTTCAACAGGTTTCCTTTTGTTAGTTTTTACATTTCTTCTTTTGCTAATCATGAATCAGGTTTTCCAGGGACATCTGGGTGGCTCAGTCGGTTAGGCGTCTGCCTTCGGCTCAAGTCATGATCCCAGGGTCCTGGGATTGAGTCCCGCATCAGGCTAACTGCTCAGTGGGGAGCCTGCTCCTCCTCCTGCCTGCCACTCACTCTGCTTGTGTGCGCGCTCTCTCTCTCTGATAAATAAAATCTTTTTTTTTTTTTTAAGATTTTATTTATTTGTCAGAGTGAGAGCTGAATTTGAGGGAAAACTTTCAGGCATTCCCTCTCTAAAGTCTGTATCTTCTCAAGGTCAGAAGTGGTGGAGATCATCTTGGAGTGTTGTACCTTATTGGGTACATTGTTTTGTTTTTAAAGATTTTATTTATTTGTTTGAGAGAGAGAGCCCGAGCAGGGGGAGGGGCAAAGGGAGAGGGACAAGCATACTCCCGGCTGAGCAGGGAGCCCAACATGGGGCACAGTCCCAGGACCCTGGGATAATGACCTGAGCTGAAGGCAGATGCCTAACCGACTGAGCCACCCAGGCGCCCCAGTAGTGGAGATTTTAGAAGTTCTGGTAGGACTGAGTTGTTATTTGGCCCAAACCAGAGTTCTGTTAATCAGACCAACAATTGCTAGATTTCTAATATCTTTTATTTCCTGGGGCCAATGTTTGGGTGTCTCTTTAATTTTTCTGATTATCATTTGGGAGAATATCCCTTTGGAGCATGACGGAGGTTTGGCTATTGAGTTCCTTGAGTGGCTTTTTTTTTTTTTGGTGGAAATATCAGTGAGGTGGTTTCCTTTGGCATCCAGGGAATTGAATCTGGAATGCCTGGGAACGTTAATAATAGCCAGAGCATCTGGTTAATATGTGACATTTAATAAATTTTGAGCATACGAGACATTTTTAATTTTGCTTTTTATTGGAGGGAAGGACACCTTGTTTTCATAATAGTGTGAGGTCATGAGCTACCCCAAGGGCATATTGACTATCAGTGCAAGTGTTTGTGCTTTTGCCCTTGGATAATGTATAAATTGGTGTATGGGCTTACCTAACGCAGCCTATTTGGCTGAAATAAAGGTGCTGCCTCAGGGACTTCAGAAGGAGTTGTAATAGCGTACCCAGCACAGTGGTTTTCATCTTTGAAATAGGAACCATCAGTAAACCGTAAAAAATCTGCATTAGTTAGAGGAGTTTGGTGTACATTTCCATGGGGAGTCAAAAGGTAATTTGTCAGCATTAAGCAGTCATGAGGGATTTTGTTTGGATCCAAAAGTAGTCCTTGCCCTAAATATCAGATGCCCTAGGGGCATCTGGGTGGCTCAGTTGTTAAGCGTCTGCCTTTGGCTCAGGTCATGATCCCAGGAGCCCCGCATTGGGTTCCCTGCTCTGCATTGGGTTCCCTGCTCTGCGGGAAGCCTGCTTCTCCCCTCTCCCACTCCCCCTGTTTGTGTTCCTGCTCTGTCTCTCTCTGTCAAATAAATAAAATCCTAAAAAAAATAAATATCAGATGCCCTAAATATCAAACTTGAATGAGCAAACTGCAAGTTTTTGGGGAGTCTTTGTCTCTTGAAGGCCAAAAGTGTTTGTAAAGTTTTATTTATTTTAGAGAGAGACGTGTGTGCGCACAAGCTGGGGGAAGAGCAGAGGCGGGGGCCGACTCCTCGCTGAGCAGGGAGGCAAATGCAGGTCTTGATCTGGGATCATGACCTGAGCCACCCAGGCACCCTGAAGGCCAAAAGTTATGACGGATGCATGCTGTCTCTCCTGTGAAAGGGAAGCAGAGCAGCTAATCATCTACATCTGTAAGAAAGTAAGAACCTGCAGAAAACTATATCCTCCGAATCAGCTTATAAGGTTTGTGAAAGGTTAAGAAGGACTGAAACCTCAGGCATGACTGTCCGGGCGTATTTCAGTTCTCAAGTGAAAGTAAAAAAGATACTGGCTATCTGTATCACCAAGTAGAAATAGTACAGGAACCTGGTGTAGGGGATGATGAGGCCCTGGGCCTTGGCGATTGTTTTGGGCTTGATGCCTTGAAGGGCTTCTTTATTTATAGGGTATTGATTAATTTTGGGGAGAGGTTTCAAGGGATCTGTCTGGATTTTGATGGTACTGTGGATTCTACCAATACCAGTTGAAGATGTGCCCATAAAAACAATGGTAGCAGTTCCAATAGGGACCAGTCATCATTGTCTCCAGACTCAGCTCTGGTGCCTTCAGAGAGGGAGCAAATAAAAGGTGCTTAAAGGTCATATAATTCAGCAGTTTAGCTGTTTTTGATTACTATAGTCAAGCTCTGGAATTATTTCCCCATCTGGGAGGAAGAAAGTCCAGGTGATACTTTTTCCTTTTACGAAATCTTGGCACAATATACAAATGGGAGCAAGGAACTCAGGAGGAAAGGGTGTGCATCTCTCAGAGACAGGAGCCTGTTGAGGTTTATTAGATACCCTGTTGGCATTGTTTTAGCACTCTGAGGCAGGGGCTGCTTTATAGCAGCAGGCTTGGGTACGAGAGCATAGCTCCATTGTCCCAGGATCTGCAGAGAGAGTTTTCCAAGTCACTTAGGAGAAATGATTGGGAAGAGCTTTGATAACTTCTCAGAGTCCCGTCACAGGGAATTTGGAGCACACTGGAAAGACTGACTAGTGGCCTGGTAGCACCCGGAGCACTTATATTTGTAACGATCTTTTTTCCAGTGACTGGGCTCTTTGCAATAATTGCAGAAACTAGAAGGTTTTTGGTTTTGTTTAGGGGCCTTCATTTGCTGGACTTGACCATTGAGAATTTACGGTCTTCCTTGTAGGTGAGTAGGTAGTAAGTGTGCTGATTTGTCAGATCTGGGGTCGACATAGTCTCCCATTCCCCTGTGGTCCTTTTAAGTAAAGGAGAAAGATCCTGGTTGATAAACAGAGTTAAGTGCTACCCTGGATTCAACATAAAGATCAGGACTTTTAGAGAGTTTGTGCACGTGTGTGGGGGAGGCGCGGAGGGAGATAATCTTTAGCAGGCTCCACGTCCAGTGCAGGGACCAATGCGGGGCTCGATCTCACAACCCTGAGATCATGACCTGAGCCTAAATCAGGAGTCAGATGCTGGGGCTCCTGGGTGGCTCAGTCGGTTAAGTGGCTGCCTTTGGCTCAGGTCATGATCCCAGGGTTGTGAGATGGAGCCCCACGAAAGGCTTCCTGCTCAGTGGGGAGTCTGCTTCTCCCTCTCCCTCTGCCCCTCCCCAATTCATTCTCTCTAATAAATAAATCTTAAAAAAAAAAAAAAAGTCAGATGCCCAACTGACTGAGTCACCCAGGCGCCCCAAGACCAGGTATTTTTTAAAAAGAGAATTTGGAATGGACTAATGGTAATGAACAGGTTCATCAGATTTTTGTGTGCAAGCCTCAGTTTTGTTTCAATCAACAAGATTAGGAAAGCTGCTGTATTTGCCTAGTGGAGATTTCCAGTGAGAGTTCTGGCATTTTGCTAAAATATAGGGGTTTGTTTCTCTAGATCCTTCTCAGAGGTTCTCTTCTGGTAGTTTTATCCATTGTCTGGCCTGGCCCTCATGATGCATGTGGACTGGTGTAAATCTGGGAAACCAGGTTGGTAAGGTTGAATGACTATGTCAAACTCTTCAGCAAACCTCTCAGGGCCCTCAGTCATTTTAGGAAATACTTTAGCTATGGCTTGCAATTCACCTTTAGTCTGGGGAACATAAGAAATTTGGATCCTCAGAAGGCTTAACTTTAAAGGTTTGGTTTTTTTTTAAGATTTTATTTATTATTTATTTGACAGAGAGCACAAGCAGGGGGAGTGGCAAGCAGAGGGAGAGGGAGAAGCAGGCTCCCCACTGAGCAAGGAGCCCGATGCGGGGCTCGATCCCAGGACCCTGGATCATGACCTGAGCCAAAGGCAGATGCTTAACAACTGAGACACCCAGGCGCCCCCCCCCTTTTTTTTTTTTAAGATTGATTTATTTTAGAGAGGGGTTCCTGGGTGGCTCAGGTGGTTAAGTGTCTGACTTTGGCTCAGGTCATGATCCCAGGGTCCTGGATCAAGCCCTGTGTCAGGAT